TACGCAGCTGTCATCCGTACGCAAGGAAGTAGGCACAAGATGCCAAACACCCTTAACAGGATGCAGCGCACCCTTCATGCGACTCGCCGAATACCTAACGGTACCNGGGTTTTCGTCGCTTGGCAGCGATGTTGTATAACAAGCCGATCACTTCGTGAGCTCGGCAACCAGGTTACCGCTTCATTTCCCTTCTTTGTTTCTTTTGCAGTAACCACAATGGTGGTCGAGTAGATCATGTTGTGCGGAGTCGAGAACCCTCACTCCGCGCAAGGGGGATAATCGCACCACGTTGTGTCAAATTGGTCAAAGCACCCTCGAGGCAGTTACACAGTGCTTACAACTGTCTCCGGAAGTAAAAGCACCAGAAAATAAATTTAGTCATACGCAGCTGTCATCCGTACGCAAGGAAGTAGGCACAAGATGCCAAACACCCTTAACAGGATGCAGCGCACCCTTCATGCGACTCGCCGAATACCTAACGGTACCTCGCGCTTGGTGATGTGAGAGGCTGGTCCGGTGAGAACCCGGCGTACTCCGTCCCAGCTGTAGGGCTGCGAGGTCAATGGTCTAACGAATACGGCATGCACGACTATGAGTATGAGTATGAGAACACCCCCCCTCTCCCCTTCCATTCCTCTAGGCTGCTGGGTTGATTTACGTTGTGCTCCATCCCTGTAAGTTAACCTGCTCTTGATCATTCTCTGCTTCTCTTCCTGCCTGCCCCCTCGTCGCGACACTCATTCCCTTCTTATTGGTCGGTCTACTACATCTACATGACCCCTTACAGGCGGTGGCTGCGACTCTCCTCTTTATCTCGGGTTTCTCCCTCGGCCAGGGATCCGTCTGCTGGATCCTGCTCACGGAGATCGTCCCGTCCAGGATCCGCGCACAGGCGTTCTCCATCTTCACGGCCATCAACTGGCTATCGAACCTCTTCATCGGCCTCTTCACCCTCTCGGCGATAGACGCCATGGGAGAGTGGTTGCTCCCGTCGTCGGGAGGCGGGTCGTCGTCGCCGTCCGCGAGGGACCAGCAGAAGGTCGGCGTCGCCGGGCTGTACGCCCTCTTCTGCGTCCTGAGCGTGCTGGCGGTGGCATTTATCTACTTCTTCGTGCGCGAGACGATGGGGAAGTCTCTCGAAGAGCTCGAGGAAGGAGGAGGCGGTGGTGGGTTGGCAGGCGGGGGGAGCGCGGACCGGCTTGCGTTTGACATCGGGGGAGCACGCGAAGGGCTTGGCGATGACAGCGATTCCACGAACGCCCTGTTGCAGCTGTCCGAGCACGGTGATGCCGATGATGAGGACGGAGAGGGTGCATGCCGAGTATTGATATAGTGTAGTGCTTGCGCGGGAATGTGCAACGTGCTTTATCTCATGATTGCGGTATTTTTTGTTTTTTTACCCGTGCCGTGGGTGATAGATCGATCAATGAACAATAGTTAGTGGTGTGCGTTTTAGGGATTGTGCCGGTGACGGGGGTCGTTGTAGGAGGCGACGACAACTCTGGACCGCTCTTGTCCGGAAGGAGGAGAAGTACAGCGTACCCGGAGATAACCTACAAGAAGTCGGTTGTTTACCCAGGACCTTGGGAAGAACGCTTGCCGAAGAACATTCTCAACTGTTGACGTTGGTCCTTTCGGAGGCCAACTTGCTACCTCTTGTACAGTCTCCTCCAGGAAGATCGAATTCGACCAAGGTTCCTCGACAACCTAAGAACCTTCATCGAACTTGACCTTGCTCCAGGACAAAACGTTCGGCGCTCGCTCTGCAGAGCGGACCGCCTCACACAATGGGCCAGTCCATTCGCAGGCGTTGCTCTCATGCAAAGTTCTGGCAGGCACAACGTTTGAGTGTGCCGCGAAAACATGTCTTTGGCGTGTCCGGGACTCCTTCTGAAAATTCGCACTTGATTATCTCCTTTTGGTCCTAGAACAGGCTCTTTCCAGCTTTGGTGGGGCGAGCGCGGGCTTGTGTAGGCGAGATATAGTCCACCCTGCCGTTTCCCCTGGAGAACCTCGGGATACGGTCACAGGAAAAGTTCAAAAATGGTTAGATACAAAGCCATGCTCGGGTTTTGAAAGTTTTTTTTGTTTTTCATCACTTTTTTCTCAGCGCTGACAGCTCACAGCTTCTTTGTTCATCACTTTTTTATCAGTACTCACAGCCCACAGTTTCTTTGTTCATCACTTTTTTATCAGCGCTAACAGCTCACAGCATTTCTGCCGGGTAGGAGCTCCAACCCGTGGTCACCCAGAAGAGTTCCCTGAGGCCCCCTACCCACCCTCCTGCGGTTCTTGCCTTTGATGGTTTAATGCGAGAAGAGCGCAGCACTCGCTTCCCTCAAAGTGTACACAAACTCCTGTAGCGCTTTCCACTGCCAGGAACAGGACTAACCTCACCTTGCTCCTTGTGGGCGACTTTTGGCGAGACTTGAGCCTACAGACATGTTTGCCGAGCTTGGATGTTCAAACCAATTGCTTCCACCTTCGTTCCCCGCCCATGCCCACATTCGATCTTTTCATATCAACCCAATGATTGCTTGTCAAGTGGTTGGAGAGCACTCACATGATGCCTACACCCCATACCTTTACGGCACGTCTGATCTCCGTTTTATTACCCCCATCTTCCTCATTCTTCATTGGCGTGTCGCTGGTCCCTATGCTGAAACACCCAACAGTACATAAACAAATACGGGTGCCTGACCCCCCCTTCTCCGAACGCTAGCGATCGGCCCCGGTCGGTGAGCCTTCTTCACAACTACATGGATAGATAGAGTTTTAGATGCCTGCCCCCCCCCCCTCCCTAAGTTTCGGTGCAGGGACATACGTCGGGTACTATACCTTTCTTTGTCGATCGATGCGAAATACAAATCACCGGGAATCATTATCGTACAAGGAAATGACCCTACCGTACGGAAACTAACCCTGAAGAACTTGGAAGTCTGAACCAGGTTCGTAGCAAACACTACACAATACGCCCCAAACAACGTCATAACGCATAAACTTGCATAAATGCAGCATTCGGGTTTTGTATATCCTTCACATAACGAAACTCCGATTCTACACTGTGAGAATGGACATCGCCGTGCGATAGGGCTGAACCCCGCTGAAAATGACGCAGAAGTGTCCAATGCGAAGAACGAGGACCCAGCCCGTCAAAATGAGCAGGTCCAACCAGTGGTGACCATCTTCCTGCGCGAACTCGCCTGCTTTCCAGGTGAAAACAAATGGAACCGGCGCAGAGAAGACGGGGGCAAGCACCAGCAGCAGATTCAAGGAAAAAGCACAAGCAAGAAATAGACATGTATCTGTTTGTTTGGACGTATTGATAAGTGTTTGTATCTTGCTTAAGCAACGGAAACATCGCGTTCCATAATCGAGAAGCCGGGCATCGGGAGCAAAGAACACTCACTCACGCTGTCAACAACGAGGAGTGTGTCGACGGGTTTCCAATATTTGCAAGGGCTACTTTTGCTCAAATGGAAATCCGCCAATTTCGTACATGCACGCACACGTACGTCGCGTCTGGACTGTTTTGACGGCGTTTGTGATAACAAGTAAATACGGCTGAGCAACAACTCAGACACAAAGAACATAGCAAGATAGAAGTCAGGTGGCTCTCAGAGGTTTCGATTCCAGACAATATCTTCGTACACATTCGTTTGTGGGTACGCACTTTCCAATATCTGCTCGCCGCTGACGCTGCCGAAGGGAGTGTCGTAGTCTTGCCCTTGGAAGATGCCACGGAGGTAGCCGTCAAACGCGAACCTGTATATTTCCACATCATCGTCATGAGGAAACGTCAAACACTGTGACTGTGCTGCCCTGTCTTGCATGTTTTCACAAAGAAATGAAACCGTGTTGGTTGGGTTTCGCCCGTGTGTGTGTCCTGCGCACAATATAGGCTCGAGGCCGTATATACTAGCAGCGGCTGAAGAAGCCCACAAAGAACAGGAAGTATGTTTCATTCGTAAGTTATTTGTCGTATCAACCCGGTTTTATACTTGTGTGTCCCCGGAACCCTTTTTCCAAGTGCCCGGTCCAAGGTACTTCAAGAAGACTTTCAAGTGGATTTGTTCTCAGTGCGCAAGCACCATATGTAGCCTATCTTCTACGGGAGGCAATGAAGCCTCCCAACGCTACTGATTTCTATTCGACTTGTGCCATCGTAAGGTCGACGAAGCAGGGAGGGTCGAGAGTCCTTTCGTTCACATTACGTGTCTTCCGTCGGCAAATGTACCTCGGCAACTCCAACTTGTTGTCTGGAGACACCAATTGCAGCGTCTGATAGATCAGACATTACGAATCCATCATGGCTAGTGCCGGAGGTTGGTTAGCACGCTCTTTCTGGTGATTGCGCAATTCGAACTATGTACAAGACGTCGTAGTTATGGGATCCGGTTAACGCAACTACTCGCGCCTATTGCAACCTGGGTTCGTTTGTAGTGTGAACCCATACAGAACAATCCACGTTGGCCTTCATGAACTCTTGGAGTGTCTAAGCTTCACATAAGTCGTTGATATTCGTTTTCGTGCTTGTCAGCGAATACAACGCTTGCGTTTCACCTCGTCGGTATGAAGTATGTCACCCATCGAATTGGCCATATCATGTCGCTAGGCTGATGATCGGTCGATGGTCCACCCACAGGCCGGGAAACCCGACCGAACAAACAGTGGCAGGATAGGATCGACGACAGGGATTGCAGCAGGAAAGCGTCGGATGGGGTGGGGGGGAGGGGGGTACTCATAGTCGTGCATGCCGTCGTTAGACCATTGACCTCGCAGCCCTACAAAGCTGGGACGGAGCACGCCGGGTTCTCACCGGACCAGGCTCTCACATCACCAAGCGTGAAGCACCGTGAGTTATTCGGCGAGTCGCATGAAGGGTGCGCTGCATCCTGCTAAGGGTGTTTGGCATCTTGTGCTTACTTCCTTGCGTACGAATGACAGCCGCGTATGACTCAATTTATTTTCTGGTGCTTTCACTTCCGGAGACAGTTGAAAGCACTGTGTAACTGCCTTGAGGGTGCTTGACCAAGTTAACACAACGTGGCGCGATTATCCCCTTTGCGCGGAGTGAGGGTTCTCGACTCCGCACAACAAAGTCTACTCGACCACCATTGTGGTCACTGCAAAAAAAATAGAGAACCAAAAAAAATGACAACCTGGTTGCCGAGTTCACGAAGTGATCGGCTTGTTTTACAACGTCGTTGCCAAGCGACAGAAACCCAATCCCAATGGCAGACACCAAGGGGGGGTTAGGGGGAGGGGGGGGGGCGTTCTCATATGTCTCCTGCTTTCGTCGTTTGACCATTGACTGTTAGATATACAACATATCCCCTGAGCTAAACAGTCAGCGCTGACTTTTTAACTCAGTGGATATGTTGTATATCTAACATTGACCACGCATCTTTTGGAAAGGGGACGAGCACCATTCGTGCTCCACAGACAGACACCGCCCATATTCGAGTGCTTGTGGTGTATCTGCCATGTGGTGACCAACGTCCATGCTCTTCTACTTGCGGGCGTCTCCCCTTTCCTGCTGGAAGATATGTTTGTCCCATGCTCCACTTTGTCTGGAGATGCATCAAAAGCACATCAGTCGCAAAACTACGACTCAAAGACAAGGAATATGTGCAAATAGCAACCAAACAAATACCAATATGTTCAACAATAGTGAACAATTTTGTCTCCAAACACGACGGCACCCAGGGTGATACAACCAGAGAGAATAGTTTAAGAATACATGACTATCTATCACTACCATCACCATCGTCACCGATATCCACATGCAAACCTTAATGAAGAAGCCGGCGAAGAGGAACAGCGCGCCGAGAACCACGATGCTGAAGGTACACGCGAGCATGGCGTTCTTGAGGGTTTCCACCACCTATTGTTCGTGTGTGTGTGTGGGGGGGGTCATGACGCCTGCGATATACAAGAGAGTATTAGGTTCATAGTGGGGCTAGAGCACGTACATGGGGGAGGGCACTTTCGAGTGCTTCAGCCAGGCGGGGGGG